ACAAAAACACAAAACACCACCATTCTCATAGCAGATTACCAAACCAAGTCATCCCACTGCAACGCCACCGAACATCCATCCATATGGATGGGGCTACGGCCTAGAAGCTCGATCCAGAAATTTCCAACAAAACGCCTAACTGGCACAAAACACCAACGAACCCAACCTGTGCTCAAACGGATACCCGAGACCCACGCCACCAACCGCCCACAACAGACCAACAAGATCAAGCCCAGATCAAGAATCCCAGCCCTCAGCCAGAGCTCGCTTGCGATCCCCCCATCCACCCTTAGAGACGGAAGGGACACGGTGACTAGAAGCGGGGCCCTTCGTCCCAGATCCCTCAAACAGACGAGACTCGAGCCAGAGACCCACACCACCAACACCCACGACAACCCACCAAGATCAGGCCTAGACACCGGAATCCCAACTACTGCAGCCCAAACTCGTCGGCGGTCACCCCCGCCCAACTGTTTAATAGAGATTTGTGGGTATGTGGTAACCGAGTTACCCGACTCGGGTCGTTCTCTAAGGAAGGCTATTCGGAGCTTTGGTTGCTATTCAATTGTCCAAAAACACAAAACGAGAGAAATAAGCCCTAAACACTCTATTCATTGGTTGAAGATTGATTAAGCACTAGATTAACTAAGAAAGTAAGCAACTAGCAATTAACTAAGCAATTAGACTAGAAACTCTAGCTTACTAAACCGGAGAACCGAAAATCAACAAAAACGAGCTAAAACAAAAGAAACGAACTCCATCTACTACACTTAATAGTTAAAGCCGAAAATTCTACGACGAAATAACCGAGCTCTATATCATAGTCACGATGTTTCAAGTAGAAATTCACACTTCAACAAACTCAAGCACAATAGACAAGCTTAAAAATTACAAAAGCACGGAAAATGACTAAACGAGCAAACATATCCGATAATCGAGCAAGTCCTAATCACTTCTACTAACTAGATAGCTAATTAGGTGCACAATACGAAAATATAAGTCTTAAAAGTAAGTACTCACATTCCTAATGCATGCTTAGTCGAAATCGGAGTAAAAAGATATAAACTTGCATAAAAACGAGAGTTGCCGGAAAAAGTTGCCGGAAATAGTTCGCCGGAAAATACTAAGCTAGAGAGAATCTAGAGGAAAAGCTAAAAACCAAAGACATTACCAAAAAGAGTAAAGTAGCAAATGAAATCTAGATGTTTAATTACAAAGGGCCAAAACATATATATAGTCCAGCTCCAAAAACACACAGTAGAAGCACGCAGATTAAATGGGGCACTCTCGAGCTCGCCGGGACTTCCGCGGGCGCGGGCGCGAGGTGGCTCTGTCCGACTCGAGGAATGCACGGGACTGGCACGAGAGAAAAGGCTACTCTCGATAGCGCGGGTAGATTCGCGGGCGCGGGACGACCATGGAGTAATACTCTCGATCTCGCGGGAAAATTCGCGCGGCGCGGACTGGGAAGGCACGGGGTGGCGCGGGGCAACGAACCACTCTCGACGTCGCGGCTATCTTCGCGAGTCGCGGGCGCGGCGCGAGGGACTACTCTCGAGCTCGCGGGAGGATTCGCGCGGCGCGAGCTGGACGGGGCAACACTCTCGACCTCGCGGCATGATTCGCGAGGCGCGGGGCGCGGGGCGCGGGCGCGGGTGCGGCCACCCTTAGGGACTTTTGATCGAATGGACTAGCTAAATGATTCGGAAATTCTCGACATTGACTCGAAATACTTGAAAATCTCGTCTCTCGGAACTCTTCTCGACACCCTCGAGAATAAACCTGAAAGTACACCACAAAATACAGAAAGGTACGCCAAAAATATAAAAAATAAAGAAAGACACACAAAACACCCGGAAAACGACAAAATGGACCGGTCAACGCTAAAACAATCCTAAAACCGACTCAACTACGCACAAGAAACACATAAAAAAGAAACACAAAAACATAATAAACACCAACATCAGAGACGGAAGAAACTCGCCGCTGGACACAAAACCCTCCACCCCTGCTCCCTCCGAAAGAGAGACGAGGTCGCGACCCATCCCGGTGAAACGCCAAAGGCTTGCCTAAGCTGCAAAAACACCGGCGAATTAAGGCGGTCCTCCTCGCTGTCCTAACAACCAATTAATCGGCGAAACCTTAGGCCGGAGTTGGACCTCGTCATTGCCGGTGAAACCCCTCCTCCGAAAGACGTTCATGTTAGTTAAGAAATT